GTCCCCAATCTTGCACAGGCTACACTTAATCATCGAATGACTTATAGATTCTTCAATTCTTTGGATGGTTTCTCTGTTCGTGTAGTTGTAGTGCAGAAATACATGATTCTGCATACAGTATCCTTAGCCCTGGCACCATTTCTTCTTCTTTTATCAGATTGGCTTATTATATTTCCTTGTATTGATCTAGATTGAATGAAATGATGGAAAGGAATTCGTGTAGCCAACGCCAAATTTCTCGGGACTGAGGTTTACCTTGTAGCAGTAGTAGTTATCATTCTATTGTTTTTCCATTTTATTCTTTTAGTATGAACTCATTTTGCATGATACTCAAGGAGTAACTCCCGTTAAACCTTTTTGCTGCACGAATTCTGGTGTGGACTGTCCTTTTGATGTTATGTTTTGAATGTAGGGGTTTACAAGAACAATGGTTACCTAATGGTTTCGTGCAACGGAGGGCTTAACCAAATGCGCGCAGCGGTTGGTTGTTTTTAGTAGTTTGATATGCACATGACGATGTAGGAACATATTTGAGTTCCTCACTTTTACCAATCAAGTCTGATGGTTGACTGGAATTTTCCTCTGTTTGGCTACAGATATGTGACATGGTTGCAATTGCAAGATATTTGAATGTTACATTGATAGTTCCTGAACTGGATAAGACTTCTTTCTGGAATGACCCTAGGTATGCCTGGCTTCTCATGCATACCAACTTTTAATTATAAATTGATTCTTCATTCATAAGTTGCATGGAGATTCTTTTCCGAGGTAACACAATTGTCGTCTTTGATTTCGCAGTGAATTTCGAGACATATTTGATGTCGATCATTTCATCACATCCTTGAGAGATGAAGTTCGGATATTGAAGGAGCTACCGCCAAGAGTCAAGAGGAGAGTCGAGCTAGGAATGGTATACACGATGCCCCCCATTAGTTGGTCGGACATTTCTTACTATCAGAATCAGGTAGGTGGTTTGTGATCTTGTTGATTTGATTTCTTCTGCTTTATGTCATGGATTATGACCCATCCCAACCATAAGATCAATATGAAGCAAAACGAAATCAGAAACACACAAG